AAGGTAAGTCCAAGAGACTCTTCTCTAATGAACCACTGAAAAGATGGAAGTGGAGCTGTGGTTCAAGCGGTAAAACACTAGCCTTGAGTGCAAAAGCACAGGGACAGCACACAGGCTCCTGAGTTCAAGCCCCAGGACCAGCTCAAAAAGAAAGCTATTATCTATCAGTCCTGTCCTTCCTGGATTCCTAGGTGATTGCAAAGCACCTGTAGAGAGAACAGCTCAGGACGAAGACACATACAAAAACAGAGGCAAAAAACGCCAAGCTTTTAGTTCATCAGTGAGCCTGAGTAAGCAGTGCCCTTCCAAAAAAAAAAGCAGCTTTCAAGCACCTTGACAATACCCAGTTGAAGTATTTCTGGGAGGAGTTCCTGGCCTGGAACAAAACTGAACCATGTGAGAAACAGCCTGAATGCATATACAGCCTGGGCACATTGGATAGGGTGCAGAGAGGAAATAAGAGTCAGAGAGAAGTCAGGAGCAGATCATTAAAGCGGCCACAAGCCTTTATGACAAGGACTTACCTCAGAGTTTCTTCTCGGTGGAAGGTACGAAGCAGGATCTAAAGATCACTGTCACTCACTAAACAGACCACAGGAGAGAAACACTAAAGCTGGCAAATGGTACTGAAGCAGGTGACAGATGATGGAATGTGGGCAAGATGGAGTGGAGGAGGAGGAGAAGAAAGTCTGGATTCAGTGTATTTGCAAGATAATTTAGGCTTTGCTGACAGGGAATATTGCCAGGCAGTGGTCTCAATTTGATGTCAAATCTGCTCCTCATTGTACAGAATCATGGGAGTTAAGATTGTTTTCTGTTCCCTCTCTCCTCCACCAAATGATCACCAAGTGATCATTGTCTTGGCCATTACTGAAGTGACTGTGTCTCCCCCGGCCCTCATTAGATTTAGATTGATGCACACTGAGCATTCTTTAGTCACCTGTGGAGGCCAAGTCCTCCCAGTGGTGGAGCTCAGCTGCCTTGCCTGGGATCCTAAGCTCAGTCTAGGCCTGGCCTCTCTAACTTGTCTATCTCTAGTGGAGAGGAAGGGGAGATTTTTCCTGGGGCCTATCTTCTTCTCCCTCATCATCCCACACGACCTAGTGTCTTCATGACCCTTTACTTCCTTCTACTACCATAGCCAAGCAAAGGAGTGAGTCTTTTTTTTTGCCAGTCCTGGGCCTTGAACTCTGGGCCTGAGCACTGTCCCTAAGCTCCTTTGGCTCAAAGCTAGCGCTTTACCACTTGAGCTACAACACCACTTCCAGCTTTTTCTGTGATTAATTGGAGCTATGAGTCTCACTGACTTTCCTGCCCAGGCTGGCTTCAAACTGTGATCCTCAGTTCTTATTCTTCTGAGTAACTAGGATTACAGGCATGAGCCAGTACCTAGCTGGAGTCTTTTTTAAATGGTTATATCTCCTAAATGGCAAAATAAAATCTACTGGTTTGGTGTGGTAGCCACGTGACTGTAATCAAGATTCAGAGTCAACAGAATTGTGAGTCTGAGTTCAATTAGCACTAACAGAGCAGAACTTGTGTTAAAAGAAGAAGAAAAAAAAAGAAAAGAAAAAGCCGGGTGCCAGTGGCTCATGCCTGTAATTCTAACTACTCAGGAGGCTGAGATCTGAGGATTGTGGTTCAAAGCCAGCCCGGGCAGGAAAGTCCGTGAGACTCTTATCTCCAATTAACCACCAGAAAACTGGAAATGGTGCTGTGGCTCAAGTGGTATAGCACTTGCCTTGAGCTGAAGAGCTGAAAGACAGAGCCCAGGCCCAGAGTTCAAGCCCCACAACTGAGAGAGAGAGAGAGAGAGAGAGAAGGAAAGAAAAGTGGGGTGGGAAGTATGGCTCAGTTGGTAGCACACTAGCCAATGAGTAAAAGTGTCAGGTACCGAGTTTGAATACTGATCTGAGAGAGTGCCAGGTGCCAGTGGCTCAGCCCTGTAATCCTAGCTACTCAAGCAGCTGAGTCCTGGAGAATTTCAGTTCAAAGCCATCCAGACAAAAAAGTCTGAAATTCAGACTTGATCTCTAATGAACCAGCAAAACACTAGGCTGCAGACATGGCTCAAGTGCTAGAAGAATAGTGAACATCACTGAAGAAAAGCGATAAAAGGCTGATTTTTAGACCTCTGGAAGTAAGCAAGCATGTCTGCATTTAAATGAGAGCAGTTATTACATGGTTACAAGAGGGATCACATAGCGTGCTATTCCTATCACATGAAAGTATGGCTAGAGTGTGCATATAGTCCCAAGAGTGAATCAAGGTGAAAGAGGCTAGAACTCGACTATCATGTTCTTCTTTTAATTTTGTTTTGGGGTGCTGGGGATAGATCAGACTCAGGCCCTTTTCTAATGCTAGGCTAGTTCTCTTCCAGTTGAGCCACACCTCCAACCTAGGGTTCTGAAGTGACTGGACAGGAAAGTTACCATACTAAAATCTGATGTTATGTTCAAAATGTTTAGATTTTCATCATTTTTATTTTCCAAACTTTATTTTAAAAGTACATTAAAAGCATCAGAAATACAAATCTAGCCTAGGTATTAGTATAAGAAGAACTGTTATAAAACGTTTTAGAGATCTCGCATATTTTGCATCACAGTAAAGCATCAAGAGAACTAATTAATGATCCTGTGAATTAATCCTATTCAACTGAATTCTAATCACTCCTTGTTTTCAGGTTAGCCCTTATGAAGAGACAAGTTATATATGCATAACTAGAGCGACACCACACAGGGTTAGACAGACATATGTAATTTATGAAGAGACAAGATGCATCTATGTATCTATATCTACCAGCAGATAGAAATATGGACTAAGAAGCTAAGAACTGAGCTCACTGCGTACTTCATGCAGGTTAAATCACTAATTGGTGATGATCATAAAGAAACTGAATACGTGATATGCACATGCTTAGTTTTCTTTATGCTGTAATTTGTATCTCCCAAAAGTGAGCCCCATGCTGTTCAAATCATGTCAAAATCAAAGGTCACACAGGACATTGTACAAGCAGAAATTACTCTTGTTATAACCTTTTATTAAATCACATTAGAAATGCCTGTTTCAACAAAAGGGGTGTAATGTATATCTTTAAAATTGTGAAATATCCTCTTTACTAATGCTACTAATTGTCAAGCTGGTTGGCTTATTGGACTAAATCTAGCTTTTGAATAAAGACAAAATCAGATTCTTACTTTGCCACAGTTCTCCGAATGATCTTGGAAGAGGATATTAGATTGCTTAATTCTTTGTTAGAAAGAAGTAACATACTAATCTACTCATGAGAATACTAATAAATGAGATGGGTATTATATTTAAATATAAAAGCACAATTGGAACAGATAATAATGACTTTCAAAAATAGCATTCGATTACAAAAAAAGTAAGAGATTGGATATGTTCTTGCCTGTTATAAAATTTCAATAGCAAAAATAAGGGGGGAAAAGTAGAGAAGGGAGGGAGAGGAAAGGAAGGTGGGTCTGTTGGTCCTATAAGGTGAATTTTACAAACAAAACCTACCACTCACACTGAAGTCACAGCAATCAGAATGGCAAGTGAACACTGAAGTCAAGAGTTGCTAGAAGAGAATAAGTCCATGCTAGCTGAAACCTTTTGCCATCTTCTGTTTCTGTGACCTGTGTTTGGGACTGGCCTGAGGGAGGTACTGGGAACTGATGGCCTTTCATTCACAGGAACAATGCAGCTTCCCACGTACAAGAGTAACTCTTGAACAGAACGGTTTGGAATGACAGATGCCGCATCTTCATGCTTATCTTGAGGCTGTAACAGTGATTGTTCCAAAATTCTAAAGAGTTCAAATACTGACTACATAGCAAAAATATTTTTACATAAAAATACGAGTTCACGGTTGTTATCCTAGGAACCACAGAGTATATAGTTATAAAATTTGTTTTGAGTATAGAAATACTTAATGTTAGGCGCCCATTTCCAGTTTAAGATTAACAGGAGGGGAATAAAAGTATTCTTTGAAAACAGATCACCTGGAGCATTTTCCTACCATAGTAATATATAAATAAGGTCAAGAGATAAGTTATTTCCACATAGTTACTGCAGGTATCTCAACAAACTGAACTCACACAGAAAGGAAAGATAAATCAAAGCCCTCATTTCTGTGCCTTGCTAAAGAAGAATACAGATTGTGTAGCCTAGGACAATCTTCACTGTCTCCCACATAACAATCCCCACCTAGAAGGACCATGAACCACCTTGCTTTCCCTGAACATTGTCCCTCTGCACGTGCGATCCTCATCTCCTGTCCAATCCATGGATAAGATCATTAGAGTAAGCCACCTGCAACAAACAAAAACATTCTGTTCTGCTCCAAAGAACGAGACAGTTACTCAATTAGTATCAAATAATAGTATCTATAATAAGAAATGATGATAGTCTTAACTCTCTACTCTTATTTGACTGTCTTAGGTAAAGAAAGTATCTAATGTGTGAGTTTTTTTTTGGTAAGTATAGGCAATACATTTCTGATTGTAACAATGTTATTTATACAAATCAACCTGACATTAAAAAAAATGCATGTATTGTTCCCTACTTCAGTACTTCAAAGAATCGATTTTTACTTTTTTAGTAAAAATAGTCTGCAAAGATCAAACGTTCGAATTCCTTTAAAAAGTTTCGGCCAAGGTTTACTTGGAAGATTCATAACACTGACTCAAGTCTTGAAATCACTCTCATTTCTACTTCAAAGTAAGTTCTATCATCATTCTTGGTATCTATTTAAAGATTCGGTACAAAAGATCGAACACAGTCAGGACAAATATCTAAATAAACATTCACATCAAATCTTAAAATGTCAAGGATCTACCCAGCAAATCCAGATACTTAATACTTCAGACCAAAGAAAAATGTAAGTGACAACTCGTCCGCTGAATCTTTTTGTCTTCATCTGCCACTGACCTCAAAAAAACCTTAAAAAAATAATTCAATCCATTGTTAGAAACCAGAATCCTCTAGCCTCCATGACTTTAAACAGAAGGAACTGGAATCTGCTTAGCTGCAGTACTGTCATACTCTTGCATGAGATCGTTAGTGGTGTGGTAATGCATGGCGATATAGGAACTGGCAAATCCAAAAGAGTTGACCGGCTGCAGCTTTTGAGGACTGCTCTCCTGCGAAGGGCTGCTATTGTAGATGCTGTAGTATGGTTCAATCCGAGTGTTGATAGGGGTTGAGCTGCTCTGACCACAGTGCTGATGTCCAGCAGAGATTTTGGGACTTACCACACTCTCCTTTGAATGACTCGGGCCACAAGCCTGGTCCACAAACTTCTTCTGTGGCTTAGGAGACAACATGTAGGCAGAGTTTGTTTCATGATGGGAAGATTTGTTTCTGTTCACTTCCAGGTTCCCTTTGCCCATGGCTCGAAGTCGAGTCTTCTGTTTGCAGCAGAAAAAGGCCAGGCCAATGTACTGGAGGCACCAGATCACTTTCCTCCTCAGCCCTGCGCTGTTGCGGGAGTATATAAAAGGGTTTAGCCCTGACTTGAAAAATATCAGGGTAAAGCCAAACAGTTCGAACTGGTAAAGGATGAAACTGCCGTGGTTCGACAGTACCACCTGCACCAAGGAAATGCCTAGTGGAAGACAGCACACCAGGACGGACAGCACGATGATCACGCACGTGACCACCGCTTTGGAATCCTTGGCAGTGGAGAGGTTGATGGCGGACACCAGCTGGAGTCTGCTGGCTGCAGGGGTGGGCAGCTGGTTGGGACTCTTGGGGTATCCATGCGTCTGAACGTGCTGCAATTTATTGTAATTCTGGTTCCTGTACAGCGCTGGCACGGTACACTGGATGGGCTCACCACCTCCCTTCACAGGGGCCCCCATGAAAGGCTGTGGCCTGGATGCATCGACTGTGATGACCGGAGGGCACTTTCTCACTTGAGCATTCTTCCACAGCGCCTGAGCGATCATGATGTACGAGCCAGACACCACAGCCACGCACAAGGTGAAGTCCACCACGTAGAGAGACAGAACTACTTTCCCCTCTCCAGCCATCAGACTGGACATGGGAAGACAGAGGTGGGACTTAGTGGTTTTCAGGGTAGCCAAGGTGGCCAGAGTGAAGCTGGTAGTCCAGAGGAGCAGGGTGAGGAGCAGGGTGCAGGGGAAGGAGGCTGTACGGCTGGGCTGCTTCCCTAACACCATGCGGAGCCGGTGCAGAGCAATGACTGCCACCATCTTGAGGGACATGATGATAAAACCTGAACTGGTGAGATGGAAGGTGAAGCAGAAAGCATCTGGGATGCTACTGGCTGAGCTGTAGAAGAGCACAAAGGTAAACATGGGGGCTGTCACCCCACAGATGAAGAGGTCACAGAAGGACAGGTTCAGGATCATGAAGTCAAAGTTGGTTCTGAACTTCCTAAAGGCTGGATCAAAGAAGGACAAGAAGACGATGAAGTTGCCGTAAGAGCCCAGGCAGAAGATGATGGCGAGCAGGAAGGTGCAGGTCACCAAGGTGGCCGTGTGGATGAGGTCCTGGAGGGAGGTGCTGTTTCCTGCCTGGGAGGGAGATGCATGCAGCACGGTGGCATTGGGCGCATCCTGGAGGGCGCCTGACGAGTTCATCTTCAGAGAGACGGCTTTGCCTTCTAGTCTCCAAAAGCGAAAATAATCAGTGAGAAAGGGATCAGGACCTCAACTCACAGGCGAGCAACAGGTGACAGAAGAAGCCCGACACAGATGAGCCTGCACCAGAAACACACAACCCAGAAACAGAGATTCATGTCGAAGCAAAAGAACCCATTGAGTACTCTCGTTATTTTTTTCAGCTTGCTCTCTCTCCTGATGTACAACAGCACAAAGTCCAAATAAGCAACACTACATTTCCGTGTCCGACACTGGATGTAACCTGTCATAACCCATGAGAATAACCTATCCAGCTAGAGGAGACTGTAGCTGAGGAGCCAGTGTAGCTCCGGATTGCAGCCTCCTGCGGGTGCTAAGGATGCCAGAGGGGATCCAAGTAAGCTTGGGGAGGGCCTGCAAAAGGATGAATGGAACGCTGCTGAGTGGGTGCCAGCTGGGTGAGAGGTGAGGACCAACCAGGAGAGGGACAAACAGCCTGGGAGAAAGAAGAGGGATGGAGGTAAGAAACAGGATGTCCTTGAAATAGTACCAGAGGGAGGGTACTGGTGACATATCATGTGGCTTTTCATATAACTCCTGTGAATCACTAACAACTTTTATTTCTTTCCTATTTCTTTCCCAGGATGTCGTTCTTTTGGCCAACTACATATGCTCCCGTGGGCAAAAAAAAACTGTAGGACTCCATTTTTGTGTGTGTGCCCTGGCTAGGAGTGGGAACAAAGTAACAAAAGGTATCTGGAAGCTCAAGCTCAGGCCTATAAACCTAGCTACTCAGGAGGCTGGGATCTGAGGATTGTGGTTCAAAGTCAGCCTGGACAGAAAAATCCCAGTGATGTCTACAGGCCATACCACCCTGACTGTGACTGATCTTGTCTGATCTTGGAAGCTAAGCAGGGTCAGGCCTGGTTAGTATTTGGATGGGGGGAAATCCCTGTGAGACTATCATTTCCAATTAATCATTCAAAAACCAAAAGTGGAGCTGTGGCTCAGAGTGGTAACGCACTAGCATTGAGCAAAATTGCTCAGGGACAGCACCCAGGTGTTGAGCTCAAGCTCCGTGATGGACCAAAAAAAAAAAGGTATCTGGAAATATTTGAAATTTATGAGATATAAAGTACCATACTGGATGTAGCCCTGAGGTAGAGTACTGCCTTAGCATTGGTGAGGTCTTGGGTTTGCTACTAACACCACAGAGGAGGAAAAGCAGCTCTCTGTAAATCTAAGCGTTACCATGTTTCAACAAAAATATCCTGTAGACAAAGTCTCAGGCATGGGCTCATTCTGACATCCATTCAGTCAATTTACATGAATCTCACCTGCTTACCGAGGACCAGCATCACCCGAGAAGCTGGAGGCGCACAGATGTTTAGACCCACCCACTACCTCAGAACAACAGCCTTCCTCCACTTCTCTTCCCATAATCTTTCCCCCTCAATATGTGCTCACACAAATCGTTTGTCTCCAGTCCCCAAAACCTCTGTGGCCTGTGCCAGCCTTTGCCCAAAGATTTCAGCAAGGCAAGACTAAGTTATTCAGGTCTATGCCCTTGACAACTGACCAGCATTTGTTTCAATCCAAGATTTTAAGAATAACCAGTGGCATTGGGAGCCTCAGGCTCCTGTTTAGAGTACTCAGCCACAAGCTCAAGCTGCATGCTGGAAGTGTCCAGCTGTCAACCCTTTAGTGGCTGGATCAAGGGACTCAGAACAGGCCAGGTTCGTGAGGGAACAGTTGTTATTTAACATCAGACAGTATCAGACAGATCTCAGGGCAGGGCAGGGGGCTGTACATAACTAACTGGTATCCTTCATTAAGGAAGAAAATAGACTCTTCTATATCCCCAAAAATCATATTGAACATATTGTGACAATGTGGCCAAGTTTTGCACTGGAAAGTGAGACATGTTCTATACACATTCCTTAAAGAAGTTTTATGGAAGTGAAAAATATAAAATCCTGAGGATTTGTGGTGTGTGTGTGTGTGTGTGTGTGTGTGTGTGTGTGTGCACACGCATGCGCGTGCATGCCCGCGCATGCACTGGTATCAGGACTTGAACTAAGGGCTTCACACTTTCAGCTATTTTTGCTCACAGCTGCTGCCTTACTACTTGAGCCATGAACCTAGTCTGACATTTTGCTAGTGAATCAGAAAAAATGTCTCACAGACTTCCCTGCCCTAACTGGCTTTGAGATGAGATCCTCAGATCTCAGCCTCCAAGGGGCCAGGATCACAGGCATGAGCCATCAATGGAAGCACAACTTAACTTTTGTACCTTAATGATTAGAAGTATTAATGATAATGGGTAGCTGCTATTCTTTCCAATAAAAGACAATATCTTTTTCTGAACCCCTCATAACTTTGTAGTGAATAAGACAATTTTTTATTGTTCGTAAACAAATTGTTAATTGTATTGGAATTAAGTTATGAAAAGAGGAGGAAAATTCAACTTAAGGAGGCAGAACAGAGCCAGGCGCTGGTAGCTCACTTCTGTAATCCTAGCTACTCAGAAGGCTGAGATCTGAGGATCACAGTTCAAAGCCAGCCCTGGCAGGAAAGTCCATGAGACTCTTATCTCCAATAAAGCCACCAAAAACCAGAAGTGGTGCTGTGACTCAAGAGGTAGAGCGCTCGCCTTGAACTGAAGAACTGAGGGACAGTGCCCAGGCCCAGAGTTCAAGCCCCACGACCACCACCACCACCACCAACAACAACAAAGAAGGCAGAACAGCAGATACTAGTGTCATATAGCAACTCTGCTACCCTCCAATCAAGGGTTTCCTCTTTGGAAATAGACAAAGAAGAGTAATGATTAGGAGAGGAACACAAAAGCACAGTGCTTATGTGCATCTGATTATACAAAATATCTTTGATATGAACTCCAGGAAATAGAAACAAGAGGCTTTTTTTTTTTTCTTCATTGCTGATTTTGTTTTCTTTTACTTTTGTCATGTTGGTTCATTTATCTGTCTTTGGGAGGGTAAAGAGGGGCATAGAAATGGAGGGACAATGGGTGAACAAATGCAGCACTAGACACTATGCTGAAAATGAACTATCTAACTTGTATGGGGAGATGGGAGGGAAAAGCTGGAAGAGAACAAGTGAAAGGAAGTCATTGTCCAAAAGAAATGTACTCATTACCTGACATATGAAAACTCAACCCCTTTGTACATCACCTTATAATAATAACATTTTAAAAGAGTAATGGGCAAAACAGGAATTTGGTCAGGGGAAATGAGAAGGATGACGATTCTGGAACCAAAATGCGAAAAGTAAAAACTAGATAGGGCTGGGAATGTGAGTTTGTGGTAGAGTGATTGCCTAGTAAGCATAAAGCCCTGGGTTTCAGTCCTCAAAACCACATAAAAAAAGTTGAAATGGTGCTATGGCTCAAGTGGTAGAGTGCTAGTCTTGGGCAAAAGCAGCTCAGGGACAGTTCCCAGGCCCTAAGTTTGAGCACCAGGACAGAAGGAAGGAAGGAAGGAAGGAAGGAAGGAAGGAAGGAAGGAAGGAAGGAAGGAAAGAAGGAAGGGAGGGAGGGAGGGAGAGAGGAAGGGAGGAAGGGAGGGAGGGAGGGAGGGAGGGAGGGAGGGAGGGAAGGAAGGAAAAGAAATGCTGGGTGCTGGTGGCTCAGTCCTGTAATCCTAGCTACTCAGGAGGCTGAGGTCTGAGGATTACAGTTCAAAGCCAGCCCAGGCAGAAAAGTCCATGAGACTCTTATCTCCAATAAACCACTAGAAAACCGGAAAAGGCACTGTGGCTCAAGCAGTAGAGAACTTGCCTTGAGCTGAAGAGCTGAGGGACAGCACCCAGGCCCAGAGCTCAAGCTCCATACCCACCAAAAAAAAAAAAAAAAGAAAGAAAGAAAGGAAGGGAGGGAGGAAGGGAGAGGAAAGGAAAGGAAAGGAAGAAGGAAAGAAAGGAAGGAAAGAAAAGGAAGGAAAAAGAAGGAGAAAGGGAGGGAAGAAGGGGAAGACAGAGAAGAAGGAAGCGGGGGGGGGGGGGGGCAGAAACTAGATAAAAAGGAGTGGAATGGTGGGATTTAGGAAGAGCCCAGGCCAGGAGATGATAAGAAAGTATCTATCCAGGGAAATGAGGGCCAGGCAGCAGTGCTAAAGGAAGAGAGGAGGAAAGCAATGGAATGAAGTTATTGACAGGAAACTTCACAGTTACATTATCAGTAGATTAAAACATTGTAAGTGTATATGTGTACATTTATTTATTTATTTGGTACTGGTTCTGGGGCTTGAACTCAGGGCTTGGGCACTGTCCCTGAGCTTTTTTTGCTCAAGGCTAGTGCTCTACCACTTGAACCACAGCTCCATTTGTAGCTTTTCATGATTAATTGGAGAGATGAGACTGGTAGACTTTCTTGTCTGGGCTTGCTTTGAACTGCTATCCTCAGATTTCAGCCTCCTGAATAGGCATATTTTCAATAGATTTTTAAAAATAAAAACTGGATGCTGGTCGTTCATGTCTGTAATCCTAGCTACTGAGGAGGCTGAGATCTGAGGATTGCATTTCAAAGCCAGCCCAGGCAGGAAAATTAGTGAGACTTTCTCCTATCACCAGGGAGGAGGAGGAGGAGGAGGAGGAGGAGGAGGAGGAGGAGGAGGAGGAGGAGGAGGAGGAGGAGGCTGTGTGGCTGAAGTGGTAAAATGCTAATATTGAGCTAAAAGGTTCAGGGACAGTGTCCAGGCCTTGAGTTCAAGCTACAGGACTGGTGTACACACAAAGGAGAATTCCAGGCTAGGACATAATAATAACCATATGCTTACAAGTGTGGTCTTTAGCATATTAACCCTCATAAGTGCTTACCATTCTCAGTGTGACATACTCTTAGTAATTCTTTCACAAAACCCTGAAATAATATCCACAACTCCATTCTACTGATGAGGAAACCAAATCAGAGTGAAATCACTTCACAAAATGGTAAATTCTTGGATTTGGATCCTAGAAGTTGTTCTTCATTTCCATGCTAA